ATGTAGCTTGTTCGCCACTCAAAAACTATAAGTCTCCTTTTGACTGACTTGTATAGGATGTGTGGAAAGTGCTATAAATGTTTCCCTTGTTGACTTGAAATGAAAATACACACATTTTACTAGATAAAATAAGTTAATTTGTAAAGGTGTAGTAAATCAAATCAAACCACACTGCACGTTAAGTGATCCACCTCTTTAGTTTTCTGCATGGATCAGCCAGCACGTGCCGGGGCTTTGCCTCTCATGTGGGTTGTGCAAAGATGGAAGTGGGTGAACAGCCTAGACAACCCTCCCCAATAATCTTGGACCACGCCCACTTTTAGCCCCAGGTTCACCCACCGCAACCCCTCCAACTCAGCATCAGCGCGGCAGCCTGGGAGACAGATGTGGGAGACTCGTGAACAGGAACTCCTCTCAGCCTCGCGGGATGACCCGGTCACACTCGGCCGTCACCGTGGGTGTGCGAATGTCTGGTTTGGTATGTGAGACCAAGCAGTGGAAGACATAGGAAGTAGGCCAGGCATAGACAGCCTTGCTGAGGTCAGAAAGGGTGCAGAATAAGTAAAGAAAAAAGTTGTCCTTTTTTTCACTTGAAGTTTTGGTAATGTGAGAAAGGCCCATTTAGTTTAGAAAAATGATGTGCTGTGTAGTTTTCTCCTTGCTTTTGAACATTTTTCTACTTTTGTCTACTTTCTGATCTCGGATCCATCAGACTACAAATTCAGAGTAAAGTAATACTAAGTGGAGATTGATACATATTTTCACTTTTCAGTGGGCAAAGAATTTTTCATTCTAATTTAATAATTTAAATTTCCTTTAAAAATTTCCTTGCCCTTGCAGTCTTAGCAATGTTTCTTGTGATTTGAAATATTTGCTTTAAGCTTTGAGCTGGAGCATTGCCGTTTTTACCACATCTAAAGGGAAGTTTCACTGACCTTTGATTCCAGGAGTGCCAATGAAAGTAAATATGTAAGCTCACAATCCCTCTTAGCACCTGTACTTCAAGACTTTACCATTTATAAGTGGAGCAATGCTGGCTTTTGGGGATTTGTACTCTGAGGCATGTATTAATATTGAAAAAGTGTTAAAGTGATGTGAATTCACTGACCATGTATTAGTTACACATTGCTAATATTGGGTTAGCTGCCAGTTTTGCTTTCTGAACGGTCTTAATTAATCAGTGCATCGATTACAAAGGTGCTGGAAACATTGAGAGATGATGTGACTCTCCTGTTCTATCACATCCCAAAGGTGCTCTGTCCAAGTCAGATATGGAGACTGTGGAGGGCATTTAGGTACACAGAACAATTTGGCATGTTCAAGAAATGTCATGCCGAATTCTGACCCTGTTGTCCGAATGTCACCAAAATCGAGACTCATGAGACCAGGCTATGTTTTTCCAGTCATCTATTGTCTCATTTTAGTGAGCCTGTGCAAGTTCTGTGTTCTCAGCTGATAGGGGTGAAACCCAGTGTGATGTTCTGCTGCTGCAGCACACCTCCTTTAAGGTTTGACATGCTGTCCATTCAGAGATGCTCTGTGTACTTTGGTTGTAGTGGGTGGTTATTTGAGGTTCTCTTGTCCTCTTATCAGCTTGAAGCCGTCTGGCTATTTTCCTCTGATCTCTGGCATCAATGAGGCATTTTTAACCTGAGATCTGCTGTTCGCCGGATATTTTGTCCTTTTTTTGGACCTGTCTTTGAGATGGTTGTGTAGGAAAATCCCAGCATGTCAACAGTTTTTTGAAATACTTAGATGAGCCTGTTTGACACAACAACCATTCCACATTCAAAGTTACGTAAATCCCCCTTCTTCCCCATTCTGACACTTAGTTTGAACTTCAGCGGGTCGTCTTGACCATGTCTATTTTTTTTGAAACACAACAAGCATCTCTAATACTGAAAACTCCAGTAAGCATTTGTCTTGGTATCCCGTAATAAACTAAAAGCTGCTGATGACAAAATGTTTGCCTCTGCCACATTTTGCTACAGTTAGTAAATCAAGCTGAAGTCAGAAGGCTAACTGAAATATATTAATGCTCATTTTATTATCTTTCTCTCTGCTTTCTCTCTCAATGTTTGACTTTTCACTCTCACACGTATCTTTTATTCTCAATCTTAAAAACAAAATACTCTGAGAGACACAAAGGGAATATCTCAAGCCTTCCAGGCTACAGCCTCTTGTCTGTCAGGCTATTTGACAGTTGTGTTTAAATGCCGAGTTTCCTCCGCTGTCACTAAACAACAACTTCATGCACTGGAGCTGACATTCAAAATGCAAAAGGTTAAAGGTCATCTTCACTGAAACACCACGATATTCTGCATGAACATTTTTCTGGTCATTAACCTGTAAAACTAATAAAAAAAACATATGATGCTAAACTTTGTTGTTCTGCTATTAAAATCCTTCAAAGTCTTTTGCTTGGTGACTATGAGATGCTAGTTATAGTTTTGATATATTTATTTGAATAATTTTAGGACAGCCGGAGATTTACTGACCCTAGTTTGCTTCCTTTCTTTTTTATGTGAAGACAAAAGTGATAAATTGAGGGTGAATAGCCAGCAATAGTGGTGAAACAATTGTTTACTGCTCTCTATGTTAGCATGCTAATAAGCATTAACACAGAGTGCTGCCCATCAGGCTGAATGGAGTCCACAGACTGCGTTTAACCAGATGAGAATGTTACAGACTGTCGGCCTGGAGTGGAAAAACTTTGGAAAGCTCTCCCTTTCCCGCCTACCTCTTTGGACACTATTATTTAAGTTTCTAAATTCAGATTTTCTCCTTCTTTGTTGCCTTAAAGGTGCAGGCTTCTCTCTTATATCTTCATATCGACTCTTTCCACTTTACCTCCAGGTAAACCTCTTTCCTTATGTAGAAAAATGGGGGTGTGGCTGTATGCACATAGTACGCAGATTGAGCCTATTGATTTAGAATAACTAACATGTACATGTTGGTAAGAAGATAATCTGCTGGTGCCCACATGCCTTAAACCTGATATGGCATGCAAACAGACTTTTGGGGCGTTTTTGACACACTTATTAATAAATGAGGGTCAATATGAGGATTGTGTTTCTATACTGAATTTTGTCACCACCACAAGTGTTCAGACAAATCTGTTCCATGTGTTTGAAGAAAAATTGGTGGATATTCACTGCTATAAAGATTTACTCCTTCAGGACCATGAAAGTTTGCAGTTTCGAGGCAATCCAACCCAAAGTGGTGGATAAGTCAACAGAGCGACGGAATAAAATTGTCCACAAAGCTAAGCAGCTAGCATGCTTAGAACGTATGGCTTATCCCATATGGAAAAGATATATATAAATCTTATAAATTTTGTATCTGTCTTGTGTGAAACTTGTATGAAAAGCATATAAGAGTGAAAACAGATATAAGATCCCTTGAAAAATTATATAATGAAACTTGTATGTTTTGGATACTTACTAAAACAATATATGAAAGTAATGAGAAAGTGGCCACTTTCATGAGTAAATCATGTAAGCCTTATATGCTTTACTCGTTGAAAGTGGCCACTTTCATGAGTAATCACATAAGTTTTTACTATTTCTTTTCCATATGGGATAGCTTCTCGGCTAAAGAACTTTCTGCTGTTGTCTCTTTATAATAATTGATCATTTGCTGAAGCTTTAACTGCTTTTATTTTTTCTGGATTTTACCATTCAGACAGATGACTATCTGTATTGATGAAAAGCGCGTTCAAAGTACCCCAAAAAGCTAAAAATGTGTCTCCACAGTGGGTTTACAGGTGTGACTCTGTCAAAATACTGCTCATATCCTGCATGTAATTATCACCAGGCGCTGACGTGATGCTGTTTTTTCCTCAGTTGGCAGTTTAAACCGACAAAACATTAAAGGAAGTCTGCATCAGACTACTAACTTAAATAGACTTTTTTTTTTCCAATGAGCTCATACGAGCTGAAATAATGTAATTCTGCACACAATCAGTAAGTGTTGTAAAAGCAAGGTTCATTATAGTGTTGATTGAACATGGTCGAAACTGTTTTGCTTTTGGCGCTTGGTTTCTGTTCGAAACAGTGCCTCGCTCCTGGCAACCTGGAGCCACATCAATAGTGAAGTAAGTGATGAAACATTGAACTCAACCAATTAAAAACAAAAGTAAATGAGGCACAAGTTGAAGCTTAACTTCAAGGATTTTGTAACTAGTTTAATTTTTCCAAGTGCTACTGTAACTTTAGGCCTTCTGTGTCAATTCCACTGGAAGTACACACGGCACAAATTATTAACCCTTTTATTTCACGTGCTTGTGGTCACATCAGAAGATTAAGCGTAACCAAGCCATTGATGGCAGCTTAAACTATGTAAGCCTTTCACACTGTTGTTAGCAATTAACAATATAACTACTCTTTGTGCGGACCAAAAACAAAAAGGTGGCACTCACACAGAGCTGCATATGCTGCTTATGAATGTGTGTGTTTAATTCCACCCATAGAAAAGCACCTCCACCTGCAGACACGTGTATTTAAGGCCATATTCCCCATCTTATCTTTTGTCTCTGATGTGAACGGCAGTCGTGTAGATTTTGTGCTTCATTGCTGGATTGAGTCCTGGGTTTAGTTCTGTTTTCTACTTCGTTTTAGTTGAATATGCAAAGCCTCCAGAGCACTGCCCAGGCAAAAAAACAATGTTTTTACATCTGCTCAGCTCTCAGATCACAGAGCCAATATTGTTTCAAAATTATCTTTCTGACGGGAACATGAAGCCATTTGTTTCTGCAGCACGTTCCAGTTTCCCCTTCATTCCTGTCATCATATCTCTCCTGTTGTCTCTTGTCTGCAAAATGTCCTTTTTTTTTTTTTTTTTTTTTTTTTTTTTT